TTCTTCTGGAACCCCTATAATTCAAATGTTGGTGCATTTAATGTTGTCCCAGAGGTCTCTGAGACTGTCCTCAGTTCTTTTCGTTCTTTTTTCTTTATTCTGCTCTGCAGTAGTTATTTCCACTATTTTATCTTCCAGGTCACTTATCCGTTCTTCTGCCTCAGTTATTCTGCTATTGATCCCTTCTAGAGTATTTTTAATTTCATTTATTGTGTTGTTCATCGTTGTTTGTTTCATCTTTAGTTCTTCTAGGTCCTTGTTAAATGTTTCTTGCATTTTCTCTAATCTAATTCCAAGATTTTGGATCATCTTTACTATCATTATTCTGAATTCTTTTTCAGGTAGACTGCCTATTTCCTCTTCATTTGTTAGGTCTGGTGGGTTTTTATCTTGCTCCTTCATCTGCTGTGTGTTTTTCTGTCTTCCCATTTTGCTTATCTTACTGTGTTTGGGGTCTCCTTTTTGCAGGCTGCAGGTTCGTAGTTCCCATTGTTTTTGGTGTCTGTCCCAAGTGGCTAAAGTTGGTTCAGTGGGTTGTGTAGGCTTCCTGGTGGAGGGGACTAGTTCCTGTGTTCTGGTGGATGAGGCTAGATCTTGTCTTTCTGGTGGGCAGGTCCACGTCTGGTGGTGTGTTTTGGGTTGTCTGTGGACTTATTATGATTTTAGGCAGCCTCTCTGCTAATGGGTGGGGTTGTGTTCCTGTCTTGTTAGTCGTTTGGCATAGGGTGTCCAGCACTGTAGCTTGCTGGTCGTTGAGTGAAGCTGGGTGTTGGTGTTGAGGTGGAGATCTCTGGGAGATTTTCACCGTTTGATATTACGTGGAGCTGGGAGGTCTCTTGTTGACCAGTGTCCTGAAATTGGCTCTCCCACGTCAGAGGCACAGCACTGACTGCTGGCTGCAGCACCAGGATCCTTTCATCCACACGGCTTCGCTCTGTTCAGTGGCCACCAACTGGATCCTTAGTTTCACTTAACTTCTTGTAAAACGCATGTTGTTCACAAACAGAACAGGAGGGCGGTGAGGAAATGTATCACTCCTTCTAACTGGGCTCCCAGCACCGGAATCCCCGCCTCGCCCAGCGGGCGAGCGGCTGAGGGAGACGCGGGCGCGGACGGTGGCGGCGTTCGGGGCAGGGCTGCTGCCTAGAATTCTTTACTTCCGTTTACAGTCTTCTCTACTATTGCGAATCTGGGTAAACCCCCTCCCCACCAATTCAGCTCCTGGGAACATCTTCCACCAATGTCTTTTCCTTCTTCCTAATGCTATATTTTCATTATGAGTCTAAAGATAGATGCAGTTATAATTGCACACCGAGAAAGACTCTTCTTTAAGTTCATTCCTTATTGAACTTGAACTTGATTAGATTTATCAAGAACAGCAAAACAGACAGCCCAGAAACTTCCCCCCCCAAACCGAGGCGGATCAGCTGAGCTCCAGCTCTGTGCAGGTGGCGGTGGAGCCCTGTGGCCCCCCAACCCCGCCTCCTCCCCAGGGGGCTTCAGGGAGGCGGGGGGAACAAGTTGGGAGAAATATGAGGAAGCCACGACGGCACATGCAGGGCTGACTATTTTTACACAACCCACTCAGCCCTTGAAGAAGGAAATCAGTGTTTGCATGGGGTGGGGAAAGAGGGGTGGATAATGTTTCTGATGTATTAACTGATGTGAATTATTTATTCTGTAAATATTTGTTTATGTAGAAAGATATTTATAAATATTTGTTTATGTGGAAAGAGTATATATTGCTAAGTGAAAATGAAAATACATATGATCCCATTATTGGGGGAAAAAAGAAAAGCTACCTTCCTGCCCACCCTCCTATTGTTACTTACATAGAAAGAAATGAGGATTAAGGTGGTCCAAACAAAAAACTGATGTGAGTATTTGTGCCCAGTACTTCCAATATGTGATGCTTCAGGAAAGGGTGATACAAGAAACCAAGGGGAAAAAAAAAACCCAACATTGGTTTTTGTGAAATTCACCACCCATCCAAAAAGCCTGAAACTCAGGAGGCCTTTGGGCACCAGCTTTATGCCATCAGCAGTAGATCTACGGGACACTGACCAGAAAAGCCAGCCTTTCCCTCCTCCATCCCTTCCTAAGATTAGGTAAAGTTCCCCCAGGCTGGAGGGGGAAGAGGCATGGAGAGGAAGCACGAAAGTGTCATGCTGCTGGGCTTCTGAGGAGGGGCCATGTCCCTGGCCCCATTCCCAGGGACTTGGCCTGGAGGTGGGGATGATAATAGCCCCCCGTGAGCTGGGGGCCTGAGAGCAGAGAGGACGGCAGCCTTGCCGCCCTGCTGGGTGGAGGCAGCAGGAGGCTGAGACGCCTGCACAGAATGTTTGGGCAAACGCACTGGGACAGCCTTAGACTAAGGGCTGAGCGGGGGAGCCACAGGCTTCCAGTGCGCCCCAGAGGGACCAGCCTCTTTGCCAGGCCCCACACCAGGCCCTGCTGTCCCTCTGCTTTTCCAGCCTTGGCCGGCTTTCCTCAGAGCTCAGACAGTCCTGCCACTGGGTGGCCAGGTTGGGGAAGGCAGCATGGCTCTGTGCTGGGGGCGCCCATGTATTTGCTGGTATGCAGCTCTCCTATAGCCCTGGTCACTGACAGGTGAGGAAGCCGAGCCTCAGAGCCGTTATGTGGTTTGTCCAGGTCACAGAGTGGAAGTCAGAGCACAGTCTGACTTCCTGTCGGTTTCAGCTGACTTCAGCCCCCACATTCTCTACTCAGTGGAGACAAAAAGATCAGAGGTGACAGTGCCACCTTGTATGCCCTTGGGCAGCCTGGGCCCCCAAACCAGACAGGACAAGAGGAGGGAGAGAAGAAACCACAGGAGCCACCATATCTCTTAAGTACAGTTTGCTGATTTCAAATTAGGTAGCACAATCTCTGTGAATAAAATTACAGTTCCCAAAGGGATCACAGCCAATTTAAATGTATAAGAGGCCATTAACCTGCCAGGCTGGCTATTAGAATTTAGCACCAGTGTCATTCGTGGTGTGGTTCTGCTATTACACGAGGGGCACTAGGGGTAATACAAGTGTGAGGCGCACTCGGCCTTGGGCTGGCAGGGTGCTGAGGACCAGAGTCACCCAAGAAGCTCTGACCTATCCTCCTAAGGGTTAGCAGAGCTTCCCTCTGTCTGACAATGTCAGATGCCCTTCGCTGGCCCCAGCCTCCCCTCCCATTACCCAGCTGAGTGACCTTGGCAAACACTGCAGGTGGGGTTCCTGAAGCTGACCCTGACGAGTTCAGCAAGCAGGAAGTTTATGGAGGAGGTTCTTGGATCAATACCTGAGGAAGGGCAGGGAGGAAGCAGGGGAGGGCAGAGGGAAGATGCTAGCTACTAGGCAGGCTCCATAAAGAGGGGAGACCCCTGAAGGTAGAATGTCAAAGGTGTCTGGAGTTACACGGAGCAGAGCCGGCCAGGCCTTAGCAGCCCCACATAGGTGAGTCATACATAGATGCAGGCTGCCTGGGGAGGAGTGTGACCCTGGGTGGGGCCCGTCTCTGCAGCTGAGGCCAGGCAGCTGATCCTCCATGGAAGAGGGTCTTGGTGGGCAGCAATGACCAACACTCTCTGGAGCTGCATCCCATCTGCCCAATGAGGGGAATCCTGACCCTGCCTCATGGCCCCAGGACAGAAAGGGATAATGTACATGAAGCCTAATCTCAGGCCCGCACACAGTAAGGGCTCAAGACATGTCGGCCCTCGTGTGTTATGTCCTGACCCACATCCCAGGATGACCTGCACTCTGTTCCCTTGGCTTTATACTCCCTCCCCAGCATCCAGAAAGTGTCCAGCCTCTCTTGCACACCTCCACTGGTGGACAGATAACTGCTTCCCAAGCCAGCCCAAGTCACTGTGAAGAGCTTTTTTGTTGTTTAATGTGGTAAATATACATAAAATATACCATTTCAACCATTTTAAAGTGTACAGTTTAGTGGCATTAAGTACGTTCATAATGTTGCATAACTATCACCACTATCCATCTCCAGAACTTATATTATCTTCCCAAGCTGACTCTCTAAACCCGTTAACACTAACTCCCCATTCTCTCCTCCCCCAGCCCCTGGCAGCCACCATTCTACTTTCTGTCTCAATTAATTCGACTACTCTCGGTACCTCATATAAGGAGGATCACACAGTGCTTGTCCTCCTGCGCCTGGCTTATTTCACTCAGCGTGATGTCTTCAAGGTTCGTCATGTTGTCACCTGTGCCAGCATTTCATTCTTTTTTGTGGCTGAATAATATTCCACTGTGTGTATATACTGCATTTTGTTTATCTGTGTATCTGTTGATGGACATTTGGGTGTTTGCACCTTTTGGCTATTGTGAATAATACTGATGTGAACGTGAGTGTGCACATATCTCTTCAAGTCCTTACTTTCAGTTCTTTGGGGTATATAGCCAGAGGTGGGCTTGCTGGATCATATGGTAATTCTCTGCTTACATTTTTCAGGAAGTGCCATACTGTTCCCCACAGTATGAATGGCTCTGAGAAAACTGTCTCACGTGCACTAGCCTCTGCACCCCTGCAGCTTCCCTCACGGGCCCTGGCTTTGCCCTCAAGGCCACGTCCCTCATCTGCCCACTTTGCCCTGGGTTCGCCCTGCTGAGTCTTGATGGAGCCTGAGAGCCCCGCTGGGCTCTCTGTGCTGTGGGCAGGTCTCCCCCAGGCCCCATGTCCCCCGAAGTTGGCTCCCCTGGTACACACGCCTCCCGGGGCTCCCCTCCCACTGCTGCCTGCACAGAGCACGTTTTCTCTTGAGAAACTCCCCTGGGTTGGGAGCATCCAAGCCACCCTGTCATGAGGAGAGGAGCCTCAGAGTTGGGAATGAGCTGGCTGTGGCGCATGGAATGCAATACAGTCCCATACCTCAGCCCACCCCACCCACCTTGCAGCAGCTTCTCTCCCTCACGCCCCTCCAGCCACACTGGCCTTCCGTCTGCCCTCCTCTCAACTCGGAGTCACCTCCCCTCATTCTCTCCCCACAGGTTTCAGCTCAGCAGTCACCTCCTCGAGGAGATCTTCACTGACCACCTGGCATGAAGCCCCCACCTGCACCCTCTCTCTCACCTCGCGAGTTTGACTTCCTTCACCGTGCTCACCGCTGTCCTCCAGCAGGTAAGCCCACAGGGATGGACCTCCGCTGGTCCCCGGCTCTGTCCCGGTGCCCAGAAGGTGCCTGGCACAGAGGAGACACTCGATGGCAGCTGTGGAATGAACGTATGAAGGCCGAGAACCGGTGTCTCCCCCGCTCTCCCCTCCTGGCTGGGGAGTCGGGGCCCTGGGGCAAGGACCCTCTCCTGAGGGTCTCACTCTCTCAGCTGTAGCCTGGACTCGACTGTCCCTAATGCCTCTTCCTGCTTTTCTGAGTCTCCTAAGTTCATTACCCCCACTAACAAAACAAAACAAAAATCTCTAAACAGAAGTATAAGTATATCCTCCTGGGAAATTCTGAAGGCATTTTATACATATAAAGAGGTAACATAGATTTAAAATTGAAATTTTACTCTGCTCTGTTTCCAAATGAGACTGAAAGTTCCTTTGATATTCATAAATCTTTAAAATATCTAACCTCAGTTTCTGAAGGGATGAAGACTGCCTCTTCACCATCCATTCCTGAAGACTCCTAATTTCCCTGTCCTTTATTAAGTCCACCCAGTGGGATAGAGTGTGTGTGTGTGTGTGTGTGTGTGTGTGTGTGTGTGTGTGTGTGTGTGCAGAGAGGAGTCATGTCATCAACAACAACAGCAAATAAAACCGAATCGCGCTTCAGTGGGGAATGGGTGGTGACCACAGCTCCTCCGATTGTACCTCCCAAGGCAGCTGCCCCAGACGTTGAACCCGCGCGTGTTCTCACTCCGCACCCTTTCCACGTCCGTGGGAAGGGTGTTGTGATGGCACTTCTGCTGCAGAGCGGTGAAGCCAGTCCAGACCCGGGGCAGCGCAGCTGTCACAGGACACTCACGCAGGTGCTCAGCCTGTAGCAGGCCAGGCCCACGGGGGCAAGTGAGGAATCGGAGGCCCTCACTCTCCTGGCTGTGGAAGTGCAGGCTTAGCCCCGGCAGGGAGTGTTTCTTTCAACTGCACCCTTCACATGGGCTGGCCTCACCCTGGTCCCCAACCTTGCTGGGGGCTGGGCGCCTGGTGGGAGGAATACCGGATGCAGCTCAAGAGATGCGAGTCCAAGTTCTGTCTCTGCCACTACATGTGGACCAGGCACACCTCGACTCTCCCCATTTATAAACCAAGAGGGTTAGAATAGATTGTTTCCAAATTTCTCTCTCTGTTCGATGTCTCCTTTATTCCTGGCCTTGTTGCAGCCCCTGAGGTGGGGCTGGGGGACACCAAGATGAACAGGGTCATGTGGTGACTCCGTCCTCACTGCGCTCAAAGTTTGGACAAAGAGATGAAATATGGGCATGAATGCCACTCGGTGGGAAGGAGACTTGAACGTGGTCCAGGGAAGTGTTCTGGAACCTCAGAATGGAGTGTCCAGCGGGGAGACCAGAGCTGCTTCCCGGAGGAGCAGGACTAGAGCTGAACCTGCAGTGTTGGGGGATGTGCATATGCTGAGATGGACGGGGAGAATCATTACAGAGGAGGACGGGGGGGAGACCCGGCCAGGCCAGCACGGCGGTCCAGAAGGAACTGCAAGTGAGAATGCAAAGTGAGTCTCTTAGTATCGCAGTACTGCGGGGCAGGGAAGAAAGGGATTCGGGGTTTGCTCATATGCGGGGTCAAAGTCTGAACAAAGGGTTTTTTTTTTTGCCTGTGACAGTAGCTGGTCTTTGGCCACAGTAGGGGCTTGTTCTGGTGGTGGCATGGATGATTGAGTGGACTCCTCCAAAGAAGTTCTTGGGCCCGTTGCCACTTCTAGCATGACAGTCCTGAGTGGGACCAGCCTGCACTTAATTTTATAAAAAGGAATTTTATAAAAGTTACATAAGACCATCAGAGGAAATTTGGAAAAGAGTAAAGAAGAAAAATAAAATTACCCCCAGCCATCCCTTAATATCATCCTGAGATATTGGGTGTGTTTCTATCCAGTATTTTCCATTAGCGTGGGTGGGCATGGACTACTGCTGTGTGGCTTATCTCCATATCACATGGTATAGCTCATACTGTTTGGGCCCGTTTTTTATCTTCTTCCACATGCTTCCATCTCCCCTCTCAATAATACCTCTGTATCCATCAGCTGTTGCTATAACAATCCAACTCAAAATTCATGGCTTAAAACAAGATTTATTATTGCTCATGAGTCTGTGGGTCAAGTGGGCAGTTCTGCTGATCTGGGCAGGCCCAGCTGGTCTTGATTGGGGTTGTTTACGCATCTGTGGTCAGCTGGTGGGTCAGCTGGTGGGTCTAAGATGGCCTCATTCACATGTCTTGTGACTGGCCAGCTATTGCCTGGGCAACAGGGGGGACTGTGCCACGTGTCTTACCCTCCATCACATTCTGTGGGTCAAAGCAAATCACAAAAACAGCCCAGAGTCAGAGTGGGAAGGACTGCAAATTTCAGGGTAAAGGGTGTCAATACAGGGAGGTCAGTAATCGTAGCAGCAATTACTGTCATCAATCTACCATGCTCCTAATTTTCATTTTTAATGGCAGTAGAGTTTTTCATAGATGTACCACTTTTCATAGACATACCATTAAATGGGGACATGCCATATTTAATTTGTTTAAAAGTTTTCTCAAATAACGCTTAAGTGAACAACTTGGTAGAGCCTGAATCTTTGAGGTCAAGGAAAGCAGTGTTTCCCACCCTTAACCAAGAAGATTGAGCCAGAATGTTCCCAAGGCCCCTTCGAAGCAGCACCGCCTGCACACCTTCCTACGTTCCTCATTTGACTGAATTCAAATGTGCCAGACCAGGATTCTCAGAGCCAGTCCTGGCTGTTGAAATCACTTTCAAGAGTCCCTGTGGATCTCTGGGCCTCGGTTTCACCATCTATAAAACTAGACGGTCGGACTAAATGGTTGGGGGATTGGACAAGAACGGTGTTTCTCAAATGATGTCACTCAGATCTAAAAGCCAAAAAGATGCCAGTGACATCCTTCTTACCTGTATTTTTAAATACATAAGAAACACACAAGGCACACGTGTATCATTCTTCCTGCCCTGCAGTGACCCCCCTTTAAGAAATGGTGCCATGTAAAGAGCAGAGGGGACAGTGAGAGAGGTGCCGGCTGGCACATGCAAGGGTGATGTTAGATGTGCGTCTCCAGGCCAGGCAGCCATCACAAGACTGCCGATGATTGCTGGTTTCTGTTCAGTGTCTTGTCTTGTAATCTCAACATGTATTTGTGACCTTGCTCGATGTTCATTGTCTGTTAAATGCACTACAAAATTTAATTCCCATGGTTTGTGGCTGAGCAAAAGAGCTTTTAAAAGAAAGGTGGTGTATTTTAACTTATGAGCTCTTGTTACCCTTTTTTTTAAGACAATATTTTTATTTTATATATATATATATATATATTTTTTTTTTTTTTTTTTTTGCGGTACGCGGGCCTCTCACTGTTGTGGCCTCTCCCGTTGCGGCGCACAGGCTCCGGACGCACAGGCTCAGCGGCCATGGCTCACGGGCCCAGCCGCTCCGCGGCATGTGGGATCTTCCCGGACCGGGGCACGAACCCGTGTCCCCTGCATCGGCAGGCAGACTCTCAACCACTGCGCCGCCAGGGAAGCCCTAAGAGCATCATTTGATATGCTTATTTGTCATCTGTTTATCTTCTTTGATGAGGTGTCTGTTAAGGTCCTTGGCCCATTTTTTAACCAGTAATTTGTTTGCTTGTTGAGTTTTAAGAGTTCTTTGTATATTTTGAATAGCAGTCCTTTATCAGATATGTCTTTGGTAAATAGTATCTCCCAGTCAGTGGATGGTCTTGTTATTATTTTAAAGAGCTCCATGGATCAAATAAGTGAACTCCAACCATGCTTTGAGTTCTAACAGCCTAGAGAAGAGGTGGGGAGGGGGATGCTTGCTTTTTCTTCCCCAACTGGGTTCAGAGGTCAACAGTCCTCCCAGACTGGAATGGGCAGGGCTGCCCAGCAGTACTTCTCAAGGGCCGCTGCTCATGGTGGCCTCATGCATTGTAGAGACCCTGGGGATAGAACTGGCAGTGTCCTGACTGCAGACTTTTCCTGCCTAGTCTGCTGGAAGAGGTCTTTCTCACACTTTGTGCTGGATATGTGGTTTTGTTTGCAAGTTTCTTTGGGAGAGCCACGCCTCCTCGACTCCAGGAGGCTGTCAGTTATGATGGCTCCACCCTCCATCCCAGGCTATCTGAGGGAGGTGATATCAAGGACCACTCCACCCCACCCATCAGCACAGTGGTTGGTTCGGGAGTGGGCATGTGACTCAAGCAGCCAATCAGAATTCTTTCCTGGGATTGTTGCATAGTCCCTGGGAGAAAGAGGGCTTCCTCTGGATAGCCTTGTCTTGCTGGGAGGTTGTATATCTGGGCTGCCCAGCACCATGTTTCCTAACTCATGGAAAGAAGAAAGCCAAGGAGAGCCAAAAGATGGGGAGAGACAAGGCCCTGACTGCCTGAGCCCCCACATAAGCCATGCCTGGTTACACCCAGACTTCTACCTTTCAGGAGCCAATGAATTCCATGATTGCCTAGGTTCAAGTGAGTTAGGTACTTCTCACTTGCAACCAAGAGTCCTTCAAGATCCATTCAGCAGGGCTTCCCTCTTCAGTTGTGCAGGTATGCACTATGTAACCATAGGGGGCATCCTAGACTTATATAATACACATTCTGTTCAGCTGAAAGTAGTAGGGTGCTCAATCATCACCTCCTCTCAGAAGCCCTCTTTGATTTCCCCAGCAGTTAGTCATTCCCTCCTCTATGCTTCCAAGAATCTTGTGAAAAATATACAGTGTGGAGCTAATCCCTCTATATTGCAATTTACATACATACACACCTGCCTGTCTCCCTATCAGACTGGGAGCTCCCTTGTAGGGACTAGATCTGATTTATCTCTTTTTCCTCAGTGACCCAACCGAGAATGTGCTTACATTTTTATCAAGTGAATTATCAAATCTCATGACAAAAAACAACTGGAATATCCCATCTAGTTTGCTGTAAAGAAAATTCTCCTTGTAATTGCC